TAGACAACACAGAAGGCCTGTAATTTTAACTTTGTTATATTTTTCCATGTCCAATTACAATTGTCTCATGAGCTATTTCCCTTGTTGCAACTTTCAGAGCCTGCAAAGCTTTGAGAGATTTTTCCTAAAAGGATCCATTTCAAACTTTAGTGTTTAAACCACGTGGTCTGTACTTCGGGCTTATCACAGATTGTGTCCCCTATATTTTTAATGAGCTCGTGTTACTTAAAAAAAAACTCATGCACGTGCAATAAATGTTTTTCCCTTTTTTTTTTTAAAAGCCAGTTCGGATTCCTTAAAAATGTAAATTAGTTTCAAACTTTAATACTTCACCTTTGTTTCACGTTCATGTGGAGAAAAGACCATTGTTCTATGTGTGTTGTCGTACTTGCACCAATCATGTCTCAAATAAACTTCCAACAGTTATATTAAAGACATGACTGTCCTAATTGTTTCTAATTTAGCTATTTGGAAGAGAAACATGTCATAAAAGATTTCCTAAAATGTCCCTACATCCGTGTTTTCAACCAATGAACAGTGTTGCGTCTATGTGTTATCAGAAATGATCCAAAATCACCTTTAGCCAAAATTTAGAAATGCTTTAAATCATTTTTCAAACTTTAATTGTCTGAACAAACCATTTTGTACTAAATGCAGCGTCCATTAAAAGCTGCAGTTCTCTTCCTAGCACCAGTTTCAACTGTGCATGTGATTGTTCTTAAATGATTAACGAGCCACGGTTCAGAGGTTGAAAAATTGCGTTAAATATCCATATTACCAAGATCATGCAGTTAAAATCAATAATTCTAAACTTCTCCGCGACTATAACTTTAAATAACAATAATAGTTTTAATAATAAAGCTCATCTAAATCATGCACAAATATACTGCTGTTTTAATCTCCTTGTGTCTCATTCTAAAGTAAGAGTCTAATTAATTTTAACGATTGTCCTGTATTCTTTCATGCAGCTAAATGTAGTGTTATGAACGAATGACCTAGCTAAATGTGTAAATATGACTTAAATTCCACATGTCTCTGTGCGTTTGTTTGTCTGTATATATTTACCTTCTGTCTGTCTCATTTAGCCCGGCCACGTCCTCTTATGGCGTCTTTCAATGTCTTTTGTCTCAGTGTCCAATGTCTTTGCCTCAATGCCTTTTTTCCTTCTTCTTTAAACAATCACTTTCTTTCTTCTTCTTTCAATAATCACTTTCTCTCTTCTTCTTTCAATAATCACTTTCTCTCTTCTTCTTTCAATAATCACTTTCTCTCTTCTTCTTTCAATAATCACTTTCTTTCTTCTTCTTTCAATAACTTTCTTCTCCTTGCAATGTCTTTTTCTTTTCAATCATTTTCTTCTTCTTTCGACAACTTTTCTCATGTCTTTCTTTGTCTCATTTTTTGACGCACACCAGTGTGTCCTTCTTCTTCTTGTTAGGTTTTCCGGCGGTTGGCGGCCTATTTTTCGCATTACCGCCACCTTCTGTTCCGTAGATGGGACAACACTCAGTTTGTGAACAAGTCTGCGGTCTTTTCTTTGCCTCCTCACAGGCAGGAGGAGTCTTCTTCGAGAGTTCCTGTTAGCTGCTGCAGCCGATGCTGCCCCCTGCGACCCGCAGGGAGAGGGGGAGACGCTGATGATGATGATGATGATGCTCGGTTGTGGTTTGTGGCAGGGACGATTTTGGCGATCGGCCAATGAAACAGACAGAAGTTTTCTCAGAAAAAACAGACAAACAAGAAACACAAACAAGTGTGTTAATACAATACAAAACCAATGATTAATTACGAATCTAAGTAAACCTATGAAATAATTACTATTAACATTTTAAACATTAAATTCTGAAAACCAAATCTGTATTCAACTGCTATCCTAAGCCCTATTTTTCCAAAAGTATACTGTTCTTTAAGATCAGTTTAAATTCTATATCACCAAAACGTTGGGAAACATGTTTAATAACTTGTCTAGACGTTTGGAGATGGTCAAAAGAATAAAACAATGCCTCTTTATAATCTAACTCAAAGTTCTGTGATCATATGACTCCATGTCAGTAACATTATCGTGTGTATAAATGTAATTTTCTACAAAAAATTCTTTCTTCACGAGAGAGAGACAGAGAGAGAGAGAGAGAGAGAGACAAAGGGGAGAGAGAGAGGACAGAACGAGGGAGGGGAGGGGCCTCCCGAACAAAGGAAGCATGGAGTCTGAAATACTTTCCTCGTTTTTCTCGTGACAAGGTTTTAAATCAGTAGTAAAAGTTTTTCTCACGTCAAACGACACTTTACATTTTATCCTTAAATACGTCAGTAATGGAAAACATTACTATTTGCTTACATGAGTAATAGTCCCAGCAGAATCTCTTTTTTTTTTTTTTGATTCTCTGTGACTATTAAACATTACATCAGAATAAGAGAAAAACTTCCATAACTGATCATTTCTTCACATGAAACTCGTATACTACAGCCAAGAGGCTCTCTTTTTCCTCATTAATCAGATCATTATTATCAGAATCCACATTTTAAATACTTGGCTTTTCTTCTGTTTAAATTAATTGTGCCCTTTTCCCCACCCCCGGGGGATATGGAGTTTTTATTATACTATAACTTCTGACCCTAACTGTCCCTATCTCTCTAATTCTATTTATCTAAACACTTAAAACGGTGTGCCTCTTTCGCACTTATAAATCCTGTGGCTCTTTTCATCATCTGTTCTGTTTTTTAAGGAGGGACCCATGCTTCCCCCAAGGTTAAAACGTCTAAACCTGACTATTGTTCTATCGCGTCCGATAGAACGCCCCGTCACGGCGGTCGTCTGGCCACGCTGCAATCTGTCGAGCCAAAATCTCTCTCTCTTCTATTTAAAACAATGTGCAGATTTCCAAAACTGTGATCCGCTTACCTTAGAAGCGACCTTTTTGAAGAGCAGAGAGATTTTTCCAAACCCACAAATCCAGTCTCTATAACTGAGCTCATCTCTGTCCCGCTCCTGCCCCGATCACGTCGGGATTCACCAAAATGAAGTCAATAATTCCCTTTGACTGACGTATCCAAAATCGATGCAAGAGCGAGACAAGAGATCTTCACGTTTAACATCTGCATTTAATTATCTTTACAATCAGATACAGAATGTTCAACAAAAGTGCTCCTATTCTAGGCCTGCTCTTCCCCTGTCCGTGCCCTGTCCTGTCTGACCTCGAAAAACACACACAGGGGCTCATGAGGGAGACTTCCGATGACGTCATCCTTATGCGTCCAAGGGGTGGAGTTTCCGGGTGTGCTGACGTCCCTTGTCCACTGGGAGGCGTCAGAATGCAATTGGTGAATCTCCCAGTCTGCCTCAAGATTCAGGTTCTGAACTCTTGTCCTCGTCAAAATGTTTATTATTTAAAGTTAATAATTCGCCCTGTTTAAACAGCATTTTATCTTTATGACTCATGTCTGATTATCCTGTGTCCTTGGGGTTTTTCCTGAGTGCACGGAGGTCTTTCTGGCTGATGATGTTCAAATGGTCAAATATTAAAATATACAACACAGGCAAGCCCCTTTTGTACCCTGCTGGCCCCTCCCACATTACAAATCAATTATCCTAATATTACATCATATCTACAATACATGAGTATTTCCCTAGGTTAATGATTTCATATTACTGTTCCACATTGACACATTTATCATAAAATACATTGAGCTACACACTACAAAGAGTCCAAATGTCCATGCAAATAAGCTGTGGTCCACATGACCCAGACAGGTGCACTTAAGCAACTGGCTCCTTATGTCCGGGTTTGCCAAAACGCACCATGGAGACGCCACGACCTCGCCAGCACACAGGCGAGTGAATGACGCATGTAACAGATTTAACACACCATGCAACGCTTCCAAGTGTGCACCCCGAAGACGCGTTCACGCACGCTACATGTCACAAACACAGTCCCTATACTAGCAGTAGTCAATGAATGGGTTTGGGCGTTGCGCGCAGCCACCATGGCACCGGGCGCGCGCATCTTCACATGCGCTCCGTGGGACAGCGTGCCCGTCACAATCAGAGACTGTAGAAGGAGTGGACTAAACAATTGTGGAAGAACCCAATAAGAGCCAACTGAAACAGGCACCATGGGTGGGGATCTGGGGCCAAATTTGTGGGTAGCAACAACCCAGCAACCAATAACCCAGGAGCGGCACTGGTCTGTTCCAGCTCGAGCTAGTTGCCAGCCAAAACCAAATTCAGAAATAGCAAGCATCTTATCGGTCAGTTGTTGGAGGATTTACAATTACAATTTATAAAATAAATACATCATCAAAATATAACAACCATATTTGTATTGTACAGAGCAATAAATCACATTCAACACAAACAATTATAGAGTAAAAGGAGTTTAGTTTTTTTGGGCGACAGTGGGTCAGTTGGCAGAGCAGAAGGTTAGGGGTTGGATCCCACCACGAGACCTTCTCCACAGACTCCCACTGATGTCTGCTGTCGTTCTTCCACCGATTAAGGGGAAGAAAATTGAAGCAAAACTTTGTCCATGAGCATTTCCAGACTTCATAGAGCTGCTAGCGGGTTAGCATTTACCATTTCTATAGACAATAGAAGATGAAGCGAGCACTTTTTAAATGCAGCCGGCTGAAATCTGACGTATAAATGCAAGCTTGTATGCAAAGTGTAAGAAAGCAGATGAGATAGTGGCCACAGGCTAAATGGAGTTTTCCAAGTCTGTCACATTTATCGACAAAAATAGAAAAGAAAAATTATGACTTTTCCGCAATAGTACCGTTTGATAACACTCTAGGAGGATACAGAGGCCAAAACTGTATCTCCACTCCACTGGAAGAGAGCAGCAACATGGCGCCTGCGTGTAATGTGTGTAAACGAATGCTTCTATTGGGACGCATTAATGCACTTTATCATTCTGCTAATTTAATATTCTCGATTGCAATAAGGAGGCGGTGAATCGCAGAGGACAATAATAGCCATGGTGTTAACAAACAACTATAGGACTAACCCTGCTCCGTCTTCTGAGCGTCGCCGTGGTAATTTTCACCAACTGTTGGGGGGCTCTTTCCCTTGAGGAGTGTGGCCGTCTTCAAAAAAATGCCCATATGTTGTTCTTTCTGTCAGCTCTTTAATTATGTAGCATCGTTCTCCACACAGTTGCCGCATACTTACAGTAAATATACGATATTCATATTTCAAAATACACTTGAAAAAAATTACTATTTCATCAACATGTGTCAACAACAGAAGGGACCAAACCACATAAGAGCCACTGCAAAAAAAATCTAGGATCTAACTATGGGCGGCACGGTGTCTGAGTGGATAGCACTATAGAGAGATAAATCCCGGTCGGAACAGGGCCTTTCTGAGTGGAGTTTGCATGTTCTCCCCGTGTCTGTGTAGGATTCCTTCAGGTGCTCCGGTTTCCCCTACCACTAAAAACAGGCACAATAGGTATGATACATTCATACCTATGAGTAAGAGAGAGAGTGAATGGTTGGCGTTGGTTGGGGCTTTGATGGTTCAGTGTGTTCGGTGACTTGCTTCCGTCATCACCGTGTGTGGGGAGAATGGAATAACTATCTGAACTCTGAACAATTGTAAAGCGCTTTGGGTGACCTTGGTCTGTAAAATGCGCTATATAAATAAACCTTACCATACCTTATCTAATAATCATATATGTAGGATATTTGCATGCAGGGTTTACCATTCACTATTATGAGTACATTATTTTCTATTCTTAGCTCTTTGTGTTTTATCCAGAGTCGGAATTTTCTTCATAGATGCAAATAACTGAGCTCCGGGGGATTTGTGAAAGCTTGCCGATGTTTAAAGTCATTGAGAAAGTATTTCACCTCTGCATGTTTATTCTACACGGCAATAGCATTATTAGCACTCCGAACATGTGCCTTAATTCCCCTGCTGCGTCTTTTGAAACCTCTTTAGCTGTCTTTAGCACCATGTTTACCAGGTCACGTTTTCATTTAAATTCATTGAAATAACCTCACGAACCTTTTTTAGGCTGTACCTGTGTTTAGAATAATAAAAATGCATTAAATAAAAATGAGCCAATTCTCTAAAGGGAGGAGAAATAATGCTTTTGTCACACACCAACCTTTGAAGCTAAGACTTTGGTTTGAATGAAAATTGTTGTCGGGGCATGGTGCAGAAATGTGACGCAAACTTATTATAATCACCTTGCTTTAAAAATAGGTGTTTTTTTACCATGGTTATGGGGCTTAAGTGGAGCACAGTCAATCATTAAATGAAGTAGAGCTAAGCTCCTTTTAAATCATGCAGACGCCCTTCTGTAGTTCCTTCTTACTATCATCAATTGAATTGTTTATTTGCACCTTAAAGTTAGAGCAAATTCAGAATATGTTAATTTTATTTTCAATAGCAATACAAATATTCTCATAGTAACGGTGCCTTGATACATGATCAGTCAATTGGGCCGAGGGAAAAAGCTCTCAAAAACTGCCAAACTGCCATTGTGTCCTTAGGCAAGACCCAGAATGAGTCTGGTGTGTGCGTGAATGGTTGGTGGTGGTCGGAGGGCAGCTGTAGTTTATCACTACTGTGTATGGAGTGAAAGAATAATGACATGTGAAGCGTCTTTGAGTGTCCAAAAAAGCGCCAACTACCATGAATAGGGTTAGTTTTGTGAATGGAGAGATTGATCCACCACTCTATCACGCAACAAATCATTGAGTGGTAGTGGTACAATCATCAGTCCATGATCACAGTCAAAGTTGTTTGACCAAGACAAAAGAATCAGAATCAGAATCATTGTTATTGCCACGTAAGTAACAGGAAGTCACAGACTTAGAAATTGCTTTGGTTCAGTGCAACAGTCACAGTCAGAGATAATAAAAAATAAAGAATAAAAAACACTTCTAAGGAATAAATTTAAATTTAAAATAGAGTTACTATTTACAATAAACAGTGCACATTGTGCACACAATGTAAGGTGACAGCAGTACAGTGAAGTAAAGTGACCTATGATGGGCAGTAAATGTTTTATTGGGTTATGGGCAAGAGGTTAGAGTTAGGGTTAAAGTTAATCTTAGGGTTAGGACTAGGGTTAAGTTTAAGTTCATGCTTGCAGCTAAAAGCTGAAAAACGGCAGAATGTACACAGACAGATACACATTTAGAAAGTCTGAAAACTTGTCCTTGTTCCTCAAGTGTCTGCAGCTCTGTCCTCTGGTCTCTGGGAGGAGCTCATGTAGTGAGTGCTCACTGTGACCCATGTTTGTGACCACGTTCTCTGCGGCCTCCTCTCTCCTGCTGATGGCAGCTCCAGGGCACTGGGCTGTCCTCTGGAGATTATCCTCAGAACCCTCTTCTGCACCCTCTCCAGCTGTGATGCTTGATTTTTATTAGGTAAGGTTTATTTAAGAATAGGTTGAAGGTTAAGGTTATGATTGTGGACCGTTTTTACTTGGTGAAATTAGATTGTACATCTTCTAGATGAAATAGTTTGTTGACGAAACCATCAACCTATTAGTCGACAAACTGACTAAAGACTGACAGTCCTAATAATTATAATGCATTGTGGAAGTCTGTGCTACGCTGAAGTCATTATTCATTCACTCTGCACTTGGTGGTGACAGAAGCGAGGCTCCAGTCTGTGCCATCTGCCCCTCTGTCCTCCACCATCACTCACTCGCCACATTTATACTGCTGCATGTTTAGGGTAGAGGGGGGGAACCGGAGCACCTGAAGGAAACCTAACCTGACACTGGGCCATGCTAAAACTTCTGACCAAATGCACAGATTATTTTTTAAGTGTCAGATGTATAATTACATTTTGAATTGTTGTAAAAGGGCCTTAAACAAACTATGAAACTGGAATACCCAAAAAATGTTATAAAGAATACAATAACCAACAAAAAGAGATTTATAAAAGTCAAAAGTTGTGAACAAATCACACCACAACATTTTGTCTTAATCTTATAAGAAAACATGACATATTTTTTGCCTTCTCTGACGCTTAAGATGTGACAAAAGCCAGATATACGTATGCTTGTGAAAACTAGAGATAGAGCCAAACTGTTTTAGAGCCAGGGACTAGTCATATAGGGATCGTAATTGTGTTTCTGGTTCAAAAGTCAAATGCATCAGCTTTATGTTGATTACACTGCAACACCACAAACAATCATAAAAATAAAACTATTAACTCTAACAAGATACGTTTAACCCCCATGGACAAACACAAAACCACAACTGCCGGAGAGTGAGACCAACACATCTCCCGGGGATTTCAGCCTCTTTAACCTAAACCTAAATTGGTATTTCATTAGGGAAATGTCACTTCCTCTTATTTTCACAATCGCTCTTCTCCTGTATAGTTTAGTTTTTTTTTTCTACCTGAACTGTTTGATCAATAAAGTAAATTCTGCACTTTTACATAAGCAGCTAATATAGATTAATTCATTATTGTAATCCCTTTCCCATTATGTTACAGCAGCAGGAGTATAGTCTGATGCTTTTACCAGTCACTCCGTATTAGATTACACATTATTCTTCATTACCCAGCGAAAACAGCAAATACAACACAGCACATTCTCTCTTGCAATTTATATTTTCAAATTTCTGCTTATCACAAAATATATTAGCTTTAAATACACTCTGAAATTAGAAAAATATCAGGTTGTTATAAAGATGCTAGTACTGTAAATACTTCTTTCACATTGATATCCCTGCTGATCCTAGGCTCAAAACAAACAATGGATTTTTCGCGCCAGTACTTTTCAATCCTTTTATTTTATGAATGCTCAGCCACGCATCCTAATGGACTTTCAATATTTGGCTTTGTGATTTTTCAGTCTAATATCAACAAAGAATTGATAGCTGCATATTTGAAAGCCAGCTGCAAATAGGTTCCTCTTTTTGAAATGTGAAATGATCTAGGATGTCTTTCTATTGTTTTCCAGTCAATCTCTGAAATCTCATATTGATCTCTGTTTCAGGATCTCCCTTTTGAACCCAGATTGTCCCCACAATATACCAACTTAGCATGATGCTAGAGCTGCACAATACTGTAATTACAATATTTCTGACTAACATTGCGAGTGTGATGCGTTCGATATCCTGTATGGTTAAAAAGTAACGTTTTCTTTAGAGTAAGTAATAACCTCAACAGATATGAGTTATCGCATACGCAATCCCCGCACATTTTATAAAATATAGTATAGACGCTATGAGTAGAACCATTTTCAACAGATTTGTTTAAAAACTATTGAACATAAATGAACTCTTGAAGTAAGTAGTTATGCAGCTAAAGAGGAAAGTCAGACTTGACCGTAGAGACAGGTCCTCAGTGTCTCCTGCCGCACCAGTCCTCCCTCTGCCACACATCCTGTGCTCATCGGCATCACTTCATGGCTGCATTTACACAAAGCCTCTCAGTCCTCGCATCAAGCTGCTGTTCAAGCAGCCACCCACCTCCTCCCTATCATTACCTCAGCTTTCATTGCCACCAAGGTTTAGGACCCAGGGGTCCATGCGCTCATAATCTCTATTAAAGGTGATTCGGCAGACACCATGCAATAATTCTGCTGGGGTCGAAACACCAAGTATCAAATATGTCATGTATTTGTATTTGCCTCATATAATCATGCTAAACAATCTTTCCAGATTTTATGTATCTCTTCTCAAAATATTATTATAGTCAGGTCTGAGAAGTGCAACATATTTTAGAAGTTTGTATAAATTATGGAAAAATATGAAAGAGTCTCATATTATTCAAAATTATTCTAGACAAAATACGTTTTTATTTCTTTTATTTTTATTTCCCTTTTATTTAACCAGGAAAGCCCCATTGATTAAGAACCCCTTTTTCAAGGGAGTCATGATGTTTTCTCCATTGTTAAATCTTCCAAATATAACACAATAAGTAGAAATGTTCCCAAATAATCCTAAATTTGTATGTATTTAGTCCCATTATTTGCAGCAAACCTAAATATTTGAAGTCTTAAGCAACCATGAAAACTCCTATTACATCTTGATTGCCATTAATGGTGGAGCCGCATGAGGCAGCTGCACTTTCTCAACAGCATCACACGCGAGGAGCTCTAATTACCCTCAAGGCACCTATCCATTTCAGACAGAGTCCATATCGTTCATTGCATTAGCGGTCACACGTATTCCCATCAAATAACCCATTCCGAGCCCCAGACCGGTCTTAATATCATTCAAGCTTATGGTAAAGAAACAAACTGCTTTATTTTATCGCAAAGATGTCGCCGTAATAGCAATAACATTACTTTACGGCCCGTTCACCCTTGGAATCGCTGCAGCCTTCCAGGACCACTTACAGACTGTGTCCTCCTTTTTTTTGCATCACCAGCAATGTCCTGAAGAAGTAACATAAGTGCAACAAACAGCGTAGATATGAAGAGTTGTAAATTACGATAACAAAGCTGACAGCACTCCAAATAACTACGGCTTGTCTTTTCTGCAAACTCTTGTGAACTTACTTGTGCTGCTTTTATTAAGCTGCACAACCCTGCTTGACTCTATCTTGGCCACTTCTAGCCTTTTTATAGAGATGCATACACTTTTGTCGCGATCGGGCAACAGAAGTTCACTTATCACTTACTGTGTGTTGTGTCGGAATACCCTGTTTATTTGTGGTCGCTTTGAGCTTTAAACATGATCTGGAGAATATTTTCTTCGGCATTTCTGGGTTGAGAATGTGAGACAATGTCATATGTTCCTCCATCTACTGATAACTCTAGGCACATGTCGCTAAAAGCCAACATGGCGTAGTGTAATTGAAAGAGAACATTTTACCGGAGAATTGCATAGTCATACTTTGGGGATTTGCAGAGATTCAGCTTTTGTGGAGCATTCGGTAGCTTCAGTTGAGCTAAAAGCAAAAACGTGTGCACTTGCAAAGCACCCTACAGGATGAAAATGCAGATGAACTGTTTGTGTTTGGAGAAAAATAGATCTTTGTCAAAGGAAAATGGATCTAAATAGAATCACAGCAATCAGTGAAAAGCCCTGTAGAGGCTAGAGTATTTCAGAAATATGAAAAAGACAAAACATGGAAACATTGTAGGAGACAGAAGACTATTGATCAAGAACAAAATTGTATAAAACGTCTAAAGGGTTGAATAGACCTGACTATCAATTATGTGCGGCTTCATTTTTGTCATCTGGAAACGTTATAACCAAAGAAATCACACTTTGATTAAAGAAACCTCCAAATATCACTGTAACAGGGCAGTATTAGTGTATTAACGTTATGCTTAAAGGGACGTACAGATGGGCCAGAGCCACAGTCAATATTTAATGCCCCCAGAGGCAGCGTTCTCTAAGGGTCTGATGCACACTAAAGCGCACAATAAATAAAGCTACAAACAGCACCTCCAATGGCCAATACACAGAAAGCAAGGAGAGGGGTAAAACGTTCACTTTAGATTGTCTTATAAGGGCTTGTTCAGATCATCAATCATTTAAATGATCATTTCTAAGTACATGACCTCACACTTCCCATTCCTAACAAGTTTTCCATTTCTACATTATCCCAAAAAGTGTGAAGTTGGCAACACTAATTTGCATGTGTTTTGTTCAATAGATTAAGTCCAGTTATTGGCTTCGGAAGCTGAACTGTAAATGTGTATCGAACGTTTTTCCTTTATAGTGGTCTCTGTAAGTTGTGTTCACATTCACAGGTCTAAAGACACTCCACTATTGGCACACTGAGGACTACTCTCTTACAAATCAGCCAACCATGAAAGCAGAGTGAGGTCCTTGAATAACGATAGTACCACAATACATTATTATGAATAAACAGTGAGCTGGCAGTATACAGAGGTGTGCAGTAGGCTTTAAACAAAGTTATTTTCACTTTATCTGTACACATGTGAAATCTCCGTGCTTAAGTGTTAGCCTGTCAATACAGCTTACAGTACTCTGAATGTAATCGTCATCGTCATCACTGAGGTCACTCCTGATTACGTGCCCCAGGTATTTGGCCTTCTCTACATTCAGAAGCTCCACACCAGACAAATATGTCCAACGTACAGCTTTGGGCAAGTTTATAAAGCTCACGTGTAAGCATTCGATCCTCGTAAGTAGCATAAGCTACATGTAGCTCTATAGTCAGTGGGTTGTGTTTACATCTAAAACCACAAGAAAAAAATGCATTGCTTTTTTGCTAAATGAAAAAATCTTTACCTTCAAAATGTCTGGAATTGGTGAATTTTTTTGTTGTTAAAACAATCTATGGGCTGAAAACAAGAGAGAGAGATCACGTTCACAACATGTAATCCAATACGGCAGAGTGATTTGATGCCCACTTTTTTGCCAAAACTACCCACAATTCCGAGCCGGAAGCTCGGAACTCTTAATGCATGTATACATCCATGGTAGTAGCCTCAATATGAAAACCGCTGTTTATTTACTCAGTATCTAGGCTAAAAATATCAAAGTAGGTCTTAACAGTTGGTTTCATTCAACATTCCTCTGCAAACTTGATGTTCACGAGTAAAAGGATTAAGAGATTAGCACATGTGGTTGTGGAAGTTGAAAACCAGATGTTTGATTCTTGGGTTATGTTATGGCTCATATGCCATATGCTGGCTGATGCTTCTCTTACAGCATAATGTGATTACGTAACATAGGTCTGCTCCATGAGACAGATCAGCTCAATATATACAAAGATGTAAGTACAAATAAATATGGAGCAATGTACATAAAAGCATAAAGTTTTGGTTTCATCTCCACACGTTTCATCAATGTAGCGTTTTACACTTTGTTGCATGTTCTTTTGCTGTCACTGTGCGCCGGGCTCAAAGGGTTAATGGTTGAATGAATGACTCTCTGGTCCAGGCCTGTGAGCTATTGTAGAGATTTCCCATCAGAAGAGTGACGGAGGAGGTGTGACTGAGCAGCACTTGTTCTGTGGAACAATGAATTATGACATTGTTCAAGGCCAACTTGGGGCCAGGTGTAAAACATGGGAATATCATAGAATGTGATAGCTATAGCTTTCATTTATCTTATTCAGTTAAAGGCAAGGCTATTATCATCTTCATAGTGTGTGGTAAATGTCTTGGCAAATCAAAGGGGACGTTGGGCTCATGTATCAACAACATTATTATGTATGGCACCTCTCCAAATCAAAATGGTGCAGGAAGGATGGACAATGTTGTAGTATTTAAATGTGTATTGTCTGGTATTATGTTTGTAAATAGGGATTATAACAAAAACATAGTCATTCAGAGCCAACATTTGGTTTAATAAATATTATATACATATATCTTCTTTTTTTTTTAACTTGAATAAAAAAAACATATATGAATGCTATATGCTTATGAAAGTGTCTCTCTATTACACATAAATCAAAGGATTCCAGCACATTACAGAGACTTAGCCTTTGAGGTCCTCAGCTCCAGTCACGCATTTAACAATCCTTTAGCTGCAGATTACAATGAAACCCAAAGGGCTTCGTGTCTCATGGTCGGGACTCTCCTTATTCGGGGCCAGATGTTGTCTGTCTAAAGACGCCACACAACACAGAAGCCTAATGCAGATTTTACACTCAAAACATGATTTTGAACATATTGTAAAGTTACAACGTCGTCTTTCCTTGCAGCCAGAATATCCACTTTAGAACTTAATGGGGCAAAAAGTTTTAGACTAACAAAGATGCGCATCACGTGGGCATCAATTACTATTATATCACATTAGTTCTAGCTCTACGTCACACTTAAAGGATCATATATGTTTGAAATCAATGCATTTCCTCTGTTCGAACTGTTTCTTTCATCTGTATATGACAACGTTGTAAAGTCCTCCGAGACGATTGCAATTGTGATTTAGCGCTGTTAAAAAAAAAAAAAAAAAAAAAAAAAATGAAATCAACTTATATACTGTAGATGCCGTGTGCACGCGTGACTCACCTCTACAGCAGACCGTCACCAACAGGTAAACTACGAGCAAAAACCCACACGACTTGAGAAGCTCCATGTCCGCGGCTCGTCCGTGCGTATCCCACTGTGGATGTGTCCAAAACTTGGTTCCAGCGCGTGTTTGCGGAGGACGCACGTCTGCATCCAGCCCTCAGGTCACTTGTCCCGCTCTCCCAGCTCCTCTCTCCAGTGCGCACAGTCCCCTTGGTCTCCTGCCCACAGTCTGCCCACAGCCTGGCCACAGTGCGTTCAGCAGGAGATGAGAGCCACCTGTCTACACGCACACACACACACACGCGCGTCCCTCCACTATCGCAGAGAGTGACGGGTCCCTCCAGTCTATTGGCGCCCATCTGCTTTACGGCTGCGGAGTGGGGGTGAGGAGGGTGAGGAGGGGGGAGATTAACCACAACATCACAGCAGTAGGTTACCCCCTCTTTAGGATGGTTATTTCTGGTTGTTGATTTATTTCATGATGGCCATTTCAATTAATTATAAAAGATAAGATTTTCTTTTGTTCATCTCACAGTGGAGAAATTTCAGATTTCTGGCTATTCAAAAGTGAATCATTTATATGCAAAAACAAATAAGTGCCATGCAAAAATATCAGAAAAGCTTACAATTTTCTCTTAACCAAGAAGTTTTGTTAAAAGCCAGATTTATTTTAATGCCACACATATAAAGTGTCCTGCTATTGACAGAACATGTTGAAGAGTTGTATCTAGAGAAATACAAGATTTGGACAAATTTTCAAAACAGAGGTATATGTTTTTGCACATTATTTAGGTTATTATTCTCTCTTTCCTTGATGGAAGATCTGGCACAGTAATCTTCAAGGTATGTGGTTCAAGCCCAGTCATTGCGTCAAGAAACTTCACCCACTTGTGTGAATGTAGTTCAGTATACTGTAACATCCCGTGGAGCAGCCTGTCTGTGGGTGTGGAGAGAAGTGAATACGCATGAGTGTGCAACTTTGAGCAGCTAATACAGATCCTATTGAGGCTAATGTGTAATTACAAGTACAAATATGTTAGCTGTAGTTTTAACAGCAGTGTACTCAGAAGAAGAGAAGAGAGAAAGTGGGGGAAGCAGTTTTCTCCCGCTATGCTCCTTGTAAATAGAAAACTGGTGAATGGTTTGCATTCTGTTACGACTCTGAGCCCATTAAGAGTAAACTACAAACTAACTCAAGGCTTAGATTCATGGAGTAGTCAGCAATGTCTGACTAATGCAAAAGAGAAAATCATAATAATAGATTGCGACAATGCAAAAATAGTGGAAATGGAAGGACAGATGGATCCGAGAGGTGGTTTAGATCAGGAAGCGGGCACAAGGACCATCAACAGAGTCAAGGGGGCATTCACCTTGGCTCACACATGGGACTCCAGAGACCACTGTGCGGCGGGGAGCCAGGGCAGATCCAACAGACTGACCACATCTGTAAACAGCAGCTGATAAGAGACACATCACACCATCACTGTCACCTCTGTCTAAACATACCCGGTGGTACATAGCATCTCTAAGTAAGTAAGTAAAGATCATTTGTATAGCGGCTTTCACAGACCAGGATCACAAAGCGCTTCACATTTAAAACATGCAGACTCTGTACTTTTGTCTTGTTCGAAGAAGCTTTTAAGCCTGAAACATAAAGAAGGATGGACATTAATGGACTTTTAGATTTAAAGACCCACTTGTTTAGACTATATTATTATTAGGTAGTGTCCATATCTCTTAATTGTCTGATATCTCTTTGTAAAGTGCATTGAGTTGAAGTCCTGTATGAAATGTAAATACAAATTCTTCTTCTGTGGCTGAAAGACTTTTTTTCAATATCACACAAACTTTGTCCTTATCCCCAGAGGACCGCTACAGTATAAACGCACTCTTTATCATTTTATGACCCATGCCCGGATGCATATTTCAGCCTCCTGCACTGCTTAGGTATCCCGGTAATTCCACATTTTAATTTAATACCACTGTAAATTATATCCTTTATCTTATTATGACTTTAGTGTTACTGAATGTTGTTTTTCATGAAGTGACTGATTCACCAACCAAATGTTTTAACGTTTGAATAAATCACTTGCTAAATGCTAAATGTGTTTGATTTCTCATTTATGAGTCACAATCCAGACGTTATGTTATTGTTCAGTTCTGCTCAGATCTGCAAACCCGACTTTATAACAACAGATGTATGAGCATTTCCTTCTACAGTATGTGGTCATAAAAATAATAATTTAAATATTCAGTGGGACAGTAGCTCAGTTGGTAGAGCATTGGCCTTAAGGCCAGAAGGTCGTGGGTTCAATTCCCATCTCTGCACCTTCTCCATTGACTCCCACTGATGACTGCTGTCCTTGGACACTTAACCCCACTTTGCCCAAAGCCCCCACTGAAAGATCAAGGCTATGCTCACACTCAGAGAGCAGCCGTCCTCCAGTGGACTCACCACCTGCAGAGGGTCAGTGAGGGGCTGGTGCTATGAGACTTGGGTGGCATCTCTGACTGCCACCCCCCTGACCCAGAAATGGATTAAAGGGTAAAAAATGGATGGATATTCAGTGGGTTATGACATCTGTAGTATATTGTCTTTGTGTCTGTCCATCTGACTTTTTCCACCAGCACTGTTGTAGATGATGGCTATCTAACTTTGTAATGTTCACTCCTTGAAGAGAGCAATGTAAATGATTTTTTTGATTTTCTAAGGAGTTTTTTTTTTCAATACTATAGGTCTCTGAGATGCAGCTTGATGGTAAAAGTGCCTAATACCAGGAAACAGAGATATCCCAATGAGGTAGAAACTTCACATACAAACTGAATCAATCAATCTTTTATTCATAGAGCCCTTTACAACACTCAAGACGATCAAAGCTCTTCACAATAAAATGACAAAACATCCATTAAAACATGTATGCATTAAAACAATAAAGCAGTTAAAAAGCATTAAGCATGAGCATGAAGAATAGTCATTAAATGGGATTCAACTCTAATTGTTTACAAAAATATAGGTTTCTGGAATAGAATAAAAAGCCCGATACCTGTCTCTGCATCAGTGACACAGATGATGAAGTGGTTAGCTGAACATTCAATCATTGTGCACCAGTGCGTTTAGAGTCCAGTTGGCGTGCTAAAACATTCCGGCACATGTGGTCAGTTGTTGGAGCCTTTTGTAACATAATTAACTATAATGAGGCAGACGCTGTGGTCTGTTAGGTACGAGGGAGAAGGCTTCAGGGGCTCTCAAACTCTGAATCACATAGTAAGTATAAAAGGCTTCACACACATGTAGATCATGTCCAAACTCGGGCCTGAGAGCCAAATGCGGCCCTCAGAGCAATCTTTCTTGGTCTTTTCGATTTCTTCTAATGTGGCTAATTCTACACTCCATGCCTTGTCAAATAAAAAAAAAACTGGATTCAGGTTTGAAGCCTAAACACAAATCTGGTGGCTCATATGAATCGGTTTTCTTAACTTTGTACTCGCCATCAGTCATGCACGGTGAAATTCGCTCACTGTGGGACGAATAAAGGATCTCTTAATCTCCTGAAATGGCCTTTTTCCGTTGTCAATGTGATGACCCCAGTTCAGTTCGTGGCTCGAGGATTGGACAAGTCCACATAGAACTGTACAAAAATCCATTGGGTTCCTGACAGCCTTTTTGAATGTGGTCGTCCCATCCATCTCCAGGTGCTGCCAGTCCCAATCAGCTCTCCTATTGGCTGGATCCTGGAAGGAGGAGAAAGCCAGCAGCAGCGCACAAGACTGGGGTCGTGACATCAGTTTGCCAATATGTGGCCGACTGTCAAAAAACGTTGGATGAGATGAATTTTACAAGATAGTGCAGAGTCCATATATTGATCCTTGTTTACTTATTGTGGACAAAATCATGAGAGATGGAAAAAAAAAAGAAACGCTATGATAAAATTAACATTTCAGGGTCGGTTTGTTTATTTTAAGAGATGGACCTGTGCCAATTGCTTCAGGTCTGCGCTCTAAGAATGATTTTCGATATATTATTTTTTTCAACTAAAAGATTAGAGACAAAATAAATACTACATTTGTATAGGGTGAAAAGTGTAACTTTACTGTATTGCATCAATCCCCGGTCTTCACAGAGAGAATGAAGGTCACGCCATACTTTGGAGCATTGCAAAGCAGGTGCACTCTAGCATAAAAAAAAAACATATAAACAAGACTAATATCTATATTTTTCTTTACCCATATTTTACTGTGAGTCCCAGCCATCACCCCCTTTTTTTCTAACCATCATCTGTCTCAATCTGCTCGAGTCTTGAAGCTCCTCTTGCGCCGGATACAGTTATGTCCTCAGACCATTAGTCCACAGTAGAGCCTGAAGCATTCCTGTGGCCCTCACTATCTATCACTCGCTTCATTCCTAGGCCTCCTTTGCCTTGATACTGTATGTTCAGCCTCCCCCCCTTGCCCATATGCACACCCACACACACCCACACACACCAATTCCTCATAAAAAAAAGTTGACCCTTTGGCTGAGCCTGCAGGAAATACAATGTGTGTGTCTTTGTGTGTTTGTTGTGGCGTTCGCTATGTGTGTCTTTCTATAATGTGTCCACAGCACAAGGCCTAAGGCTGTTCCAAACCCCACATCTCAAGCATGATCAGAGAGCATGTTCGCGGACAGCTGAGTCACATGCTTTCCACAGATGATAAAAGAAATAGAAAAACGTATTAAGCAAACTGTATTTACTGCATACGGTAGTAGAAGTAGCAGTATGGTCATGAAAGCAGAATGAAAGGAGAAGTTTAATGCTGGACTGCAAAAATACAAGATTTAATAAACAAAAATAACCAGGACCAAGACCAGGACTCTAAGCAGAAGTCCAAATTTCAAAATCAAACCACAAAGAAACTGACAAGGTGAAAGAACAGGGTTTTAATACACACATGGAGGCACAGGTGAAAAGTGGGCAAGGCAATCTGAACAGACATGAAGTCAAACTCAAAAGAACCGATATGTCAACATAAACCGCAGGTAAAAGTAATCAACAAAAAAGTCTTCACTATGACACGTAATGTATTTTTAATTGTAATCATTTTGGTCTCAAGGGAACTGGATTTCCCTAGGATAATATTATTTTATTTATATAGTGATTTTTAAACACTGAAAGCTTGGACAGTATCACAATATACAGTATGGAGGGTCTATGAGCCTGTGTCACTTCACGCCACCTTTGGCCCGCTTCAATTCATTCAATTCAAGTGAGTTTGCGGCACCCAAACAATGTACATTAATTCCCTGTTCTCTTTTTCTTCTGCATTTCTTGGTGTGATTCTTGGCTCTTGAAAATGTTATGTCTAAGGATTAAAAAGTCCA